GCAAAAATCAATGTGCACACAGATGTCATCCACAAAGCAAATCAGTGTGTCCTTACAGGCTCAATAGCTCAATTATACCATATGAGCCAATGATATCTATTAAAATACAATTTATGTACATTTCTATAAGCCTGTACCCAATCTAAATGACTGGAATCCCTGCTGTGAAATGATTTAATCCCTGCATGCCAGAAAATGTTATATGTTACCTCCAAGATTGGAAGATTCTCTGTCTTCTTCTGACAAGATGCTCCCAGCTGATGCATATCCAGTATCAGATGATCCACTGGTTCCTGTTGATTGGCCACTTACAGATGATTGGATGGTTTCCATTGATTTGATACCACCAGGTCTAGTTTTTCGTTTAAACTGTAATTTTTTAGGCCACTTGAATTTGTCCAGTAATGAAGGTCGCTTTGATGTCACCAGTCTGACTTGCTTATCTGTAGAATGTTGGGAAAAGTATCATCACTTGAAAAAAAAAAGAATGTGCCTACTGTTCAAATGGCATTGTTTGAGGATATTAGTGAGAGCCAAGATTTTTTACAATAGCTCAGTATGATTTAAGGGCTACTGAGGCCTGAGGTGATAAGACTTTGTCATCAATTGCTATTGTCAGTTCCCACATGTACAGCCATGTGAGGTGGTTCTATTCTTTATGAAATAACAAGCTGCTGGATATGCATGTACCTTGTGCATGTCTTGTGTCAGCTGATTTAATAGCTTCTGATGATTGGGAAACTGTTGATACAAGACTTGTTGCGGATCCAATACTTGATATTGACCACATGCTCCCTGAAGCCAGCTGTGATATCACCTGTTCAACCAGGGTGGGTGAGTGCACATCTATGGAAGGTTGTGGAATGTGCTGAACACCTGCAACAGAGTGAGTATACATTGTACACATACAAACTGTACTGTACATGTGTGTGCATGATTTCATGCAAATATTACTTGGGCCATGATTACATTTGATATGGGATACCAGCCTGATATGCTTCAGATGGCATACACATTGTTAAATTTTAAAGACATTCTCGAAAAGGCTTCACTGGATAACACCATTTTCTTACTAGTAAGAATCAGTCTTAGTGTATCCAACAAAATTATCTCTGAATGAGGGGCACAACTTAGGGAGATGTGATTTATGGTTGGTGATGAACTGGTTAGTGGGCCTGGATGGTAATTATAATACAGAATGGAAAGGATATTGTATTAATGAATATGGCTATAGTTACTGATAAACAGGTATGATAATGGATTTTAGACTCTCCTGTTTTATCAAGACTGAGTGGCAATGGGGCGGTTTGGACCCGAGGGGTCAATGGGGTCAAACCTGGTAATTAGCTGTGTGACCCCTGACCTCCGAGTCCTCACTTCATTCTGTCAACACGTTTTACACACGTCTCTTCATTGTGTGAAAGCAGGCCTGAGCTGTGTGGAAGGGAGTGCAGATAATTGATACACATGCCTGCTAAGCGGGGGGGGTG